TTTTTATAAAAGCAATACTGATACATTACTGATTGGGAACAGAGAGTCAATTCTGTATCTCGAAACGAAGTAAAAATGACAAAAGTAAGCACATTCACTAGGCACTGACCAATGAAATTACGAATATTCTAGTATATTTGCTCACTTTTGTAATTTTCACTTCGTTTCGAGATACAGAATCGACTCCCAGATGTCGGACATACGACGATCCAATAGCCAATAGGAACATTTATTTTCTAGGGATAGTACATCACTAGCTAGTAACCTTAAAAAGTGCAATCTTGATGCATCCACGAGATGCATTCAACTACATCTGTTGCAAATAAAAGAACGCAACCTGTGTGCCACGGCCCTAAAGCGTCTTCTACAATGGCAGTAGGAATAGTAATAAGAAATAAGCAGTAAGCAAATTGACCAATTCCATTCTCATGTTTCAAAAATAATCGATTGTGATTAGTCTATTTACTTACTGCTTATTTCTTACTACTACTCCTACTGCCATTGTAGAAGACGCTTTAGGGCTGTGGCACACAGAAAAACTTAAGCAATAAGACGTAAGCAGTAGGCAAATTGACCAATCACAGTCGTTGATTCTTGGATCGTAAGAAGAATCAATGACTGTGATTGGTCAATTTGCTTACTGCTTACGTTTTACTGCTTAAGTTTTTCTATGTGCAACCAGCTTAAGGGCCATCACACAAAATTACATGGACGCATATGCATAGCATATGATCGTATGGCATCAAATATTAAGTCACCATTGTGATGATTGATGCTTAATATTCGATGCTCATTAATCCATACGATCTTATGCTATGCGATTTGTATGTACTTGACCAGAAAAAAACTCCAGTTGGAAAACTATTCTTTTAAATCGTTTGTATTTCGTATGAAGAGTTTTGAAGTGCAATTGAAGAGATTTGTGAGTCGTTCTATTACTTGTAAATAATTGTTTTTTTTTGGACCATGTATTTAACCGGAAATAATGACCGGAAGTAAATTAAACAAAGGTTCGAAATGGTATCGTTTGTATTTCGTATGAAGAGTTATGAAGTATCATTAAAAAGATTGGTGAGTCATTTAGATAATTTCAATTAAATATTAAAAAATCATATATTTGGCCGAAATATCGATCTCAAGCACTGCTGTGGAAGTACCGTCAGGCACGATCAGTGTACTATCTAGTATTTCAATATTCCTGGTTCTTTTTCGGGTATATATGTACAATAAGGCCTTTTTCGAATTTTGATATCTTTTTGCAGCTCTTTTGGTAAAAATATTTATTTTGATTCCAATATGATAATCAATCGGGGGAGTCCGAAAATATGCAAGTTATATATTGTTTTAACTTTCTTTTTTTTTTCACTTGTCGAACGTTGCTGCTTTCCCACAATTTAAACAAGTTACTGATCTTTTAATAACATTATGTAACTGCAATATCGAACGACTAGCGGGAGACTGCGCCCCTCGCACCCCTCCACAAAAACTAACTTAACCCAACCTATCGTCACATTAACCGTCAGTCATTGTTTATTAAAGTGTTCAACTTTTTTTCTTAATAATTTCTAAACAATGACTAACGGCTAATATGACGATAGGTTGGGTTAGGTTAGTTTTGAGGGGGGTGCGGAGGGCGTAGCCCCCGCTAGTCGTTCGATATTGCAGTTACATAATGTAATTAAAAGATCAGTAACTTGTTTAAATTGTGGGAAAGCAGCAACGTTCGACAATTAAAAAAAAATTAAAACAATATATAATTTGCATATTTTTCGGATTCCCCCGATTGATTATCATATTGGAGTCAAAATAAATATTTTTATCAAAAGAGCTGCAAAATGATATCAAAATTCGAAAAAGGCCTTATTGTACATATATACCCGAAAAAGAACCAGGAATATTGAAATACTAGATAGTACACTGATCGTGCCTGACGGTACTTCTACAGCAGTGCTTGAGATCGATATTTCGGCCAAATATATGATTTTTTAATATTTAATTGAAATTATCTGAATGTCTCACCAATCTTTTTAATGATATTTTATAACTCATCATACGAAATACAAACGATACTATTCCGAATCTTTGTTTAATTTACCTCCAGTCATTATTTCCGACTAAATACATGGTCCAAAAAAGAACAATTAATTACAAGTAATAGAATGACTCACAAATCTTTTCAATTGCATTTCAAAACTCTTCATATGAAATACAAACGATTTAAAAGAATAGTTTTCCAACCGGAGTTTTTTTCCGGTCAAGTACATACGAATGCATATGCGCTATGTAATTTTGTGTGTGATGGCCCTAATGCTTGCCGCGCGGCGGAAGTACGCGCGACAGCCAATCAATATGCTGCTTTCCGTAATAACCTTTTAGCTCTTACGTAAACACAACATATTGATTGACTGTCGCGCGGACTTCCGCCGCGCGGCAAGCATTACCGTGTCCTGTGTGCAGAAGCTACTATATTTAAGATTATCTCAAGAGGCGCTGCACACGAATTGACATAACAGTAACATAAAACGTACCGTAAGAATTGACTAATCACTTTGAGTATCGTCGAACCCTAAGGTCGCCATTTTTGTGAATACTCGATTGTAATTGATCCATTTTAGTACGTCTTACCTTACTGGCTTTACATCGTGCACTTGATACGCGTACTAAATAGTAACTTTCTATTAGATAATCTTAATATCAACGATATAAATAATCAACGTTATATTAAGCTGGTATAATACTTATCAAGAAAATGTATTGT